AAATGTCATTGCTAACTGTATTTGTAAACTTGTTCCCCCTAAAAGCCTGCCTCTGCTGCAAAGCAAGGGATAAGATCTTGTTTTGTTTCCTTTGATGAAGGAACAGAATACCACTTGTTGGCTCTGAAAAGAGAAGTCTTAAATTTTAACGGTGCTCAGTGAAATAACACAGGAGCAGTGCTCAGTGAAATAACACAGGAACAATGTGAAGGTGACTGAACTAGATAGATAGATAGATAGATAGATAGATAGATTGATTGATTTTGATGGTGTTGAATATTAGGTCCAGGATGCTGCTGGCCTTTAGAGGTTTTTGCATTCCAGTAATATCATAATTGGGTTCTGATTATTATTTGATTAGCTATCCATATTTTTGCAAAGCATTTATGGTAATATGAATAAAATTGGTAGAACTATTGAAACAATATTAAAAGGGTCAAGATCATATTGATGAAAGGGGAAATACTTACCTCAGTCAACATCTCTTTTATCTCTGAGGTTTTTTTCCTGGTCAAGGCAAAACAAAGCAAGGCTAGTGATAAGCCATTGTGGAGTGATAGTGCATTGCTCTGGACCACAGGTAGGGATTTTGGTAGGCCAATCTATATTATAGTATCAAGATAGTTACATAGATTTTGGTTTCAGGGACATTAAGCATCATAGTAGATGAAATATTCAAAACTTATTTATAAACAGGAGTATGAGATGAGTGTAGGTATCTGGGGAAGTAGTAGTGTTATCTCTTATATTGCCCTGGGAAAGCTTTCTCTTCCCCACATTGAACCAAGCATGATTAATTACATGGATTATCTCATTTAATTTTCTCAGTAACTTTATGGGATAGGTGTAATTATTATAACAGCCGTTTTGTGAATAAGGACACTGAGGCAAGAGCTACAGAGCTAGAGAATTTAGGAGGTCTTTAAATTAGATTAAAATTGGGCTCATACCAATTGGGAATATATATGTATGTAGATAAAGATTTGGGTATGGATATGGATGTACAGACATATATGCAGTGTGCTTTTTTGTTTTAATATGTATATTTCAGAGCCGTTCATGTCAGCAGAGATAGAACTTTTTAATCATTGCATAAAATTACATATTCACATGTATCATAATTTAGTAAGACATTTTCTCTACCAGTGGACATTTAGGCAGTTTCCAGCTTTGGGCTATTACAAATAGTGCTATGATGAACTCTCTTGCATGTACATCTTTGTGCACATTTGCAAATATCTCTATAAATACATGGATGTAGGATTATTAGGTCAAAGGCATTGACATTTAAAATCTTGATAGTTCTCAAATTATGCTTTTTTCCTTGCTTTTCCAAGAGTATTCTTTTTCCTATATTCTCACGAACACTAGATGTTGCAGTCTCTTTTTTTTTTTTTCAACCATTCTATGGGTGAATGCCTGGTATTTCCTTGTACTTGCATGTGCTTAATTTTTAATGAAGCTGAGCATCTTTACATCATTTATTGAACATTAATATTTCTTTGTTGAATTCTAATTAATTTCCTTTTTCCTACTTACACATGCAGTTTTTTGAAGTGGTAAAGTTCTTTGTATATTATACATACTCATATTTCATCTTGATATTTAGCAATTTTTCCTCCTAATATTTGATTTTTCTTAGAATTTAATTATGGCATATTTTGTTGCCTAGGAATTTTTAGCATTGAATTTTAATCACATAGCTTATTCATTTAAGATTTCTAGGCTCTATGGCTTTGTAGGAACATCCTATCTAGCTGATTAAACATTGTCCCATATTTTCTTTAGCACTTTTAAAATTTATAACTTTTTTTGTTCTTAACCAATTGAAATTTTACTTTTGTTATTGATATGAAATAGGATTTTTTTTAGACAGATATCCCATTCTTTCCCTACTATTTATTGAGTAGATCACCCTAACTAATTTGAGTAGAAAAGTAGAGGAGCAGAACAGAATAGAATCCAAAAATAGATATACCTCAGGGCCCAAACTACATTGCCTTAAAAAATGAAGTTTTATTGTATGTTTGATATCTTATAGGGTCTGATTCCGTCCTATTCTTTTCAAACAGTTTGTTATCCATGAAAAATTTGAGTGGGGTTTTGACTGCCCTGTATTCATAAATTAAATTGGGGCAAGCTAACGTTTACAGTAATTTAGGAGTGTAGATGCCTTTACAATATTAAGAATTTTATCCAGGAACATAGTATGCCATTATACATATTTAGGGCTTTTTGTATTTTTCAGTTAAATTTTATAGAGAAGGGTATCCTTGCACATTTATAATTAGTAATTCCTGGGTATTTTGTGTTTCTGACCTTTTCTGTTATACTTTCTAAACTATTGTGGGTTTTTTAATATTTTTTTTGTTACTTTATGGAACTCTTACTGGTTCTAATAATGTTTATGTTAAATCTTTTGGATTCTCCAAGTAAATGATAGCTTAATCTGCACCTAATGAAGTCTGGCTTTTCTTTTTCAGTTATTTATAGGTTTTTCCTATGTACCCACATAATTTACCAGACTATGAGCAAGCTGAAGATGAAAAGTATCTTACATTATTTCTTTTCTACAGAATGAAATGGTGATATAGTCCTCTGATTGCTAGATGCCTCAAAAATTATTTAAAACACCATTTCCCAATATGGAGTCATACAGTTACTTGTTTTATTTAGTTTCAGGATACCCCCAAATGAACTTTATAAACTAACCCAATTGATAGCAGAGTGTTTTGGGATCCTGAAAAAAGTCAGGAAGGTGTTAATTTATTTGAAACAGTTCTCCCATACTTATATTTTACACACACCCACACACATGCATGCATGTATACACACACACATTTATTTATTTATTCACTTATTCTGTGGTAGCAAAATTGAGCTATGTTCCAGCATGGATATCAATTAAATCTTTGTTCTACAGTCACATATATATTCTTGGACCTTCAGCAGATGTAGACAAGTAGCAAACATCAGTGGAATAATTTCCAGTCATACCTGCCAATAGTTTGCAGGACACGTAAGTTCCAGATCCAGCTAACTTTTTTTGTGTGTTGTTGAAGTGTGCTCCCCTAGGCATGTTGCTTTCTTGTCCACTCAGCTGTGTTTTCTAAAAGATATGGATATAGATATGGATTTTTTTGTCTAAGATCTTATATTTGAAATGTGTATTCTATCTCTTCTACACTCAAATACACGAATTCTTGTTTATTCTCTAAGATTTAGCTCAAATATTTTGCCCTTCGTGAAATTCTTCCCTTTTTCAGGCAAGTAAGAAAGATTACTTGGCATATTCTTCTGTTACAACAGGTATCACATTATACTGTGTTTGTTTACATTGATTTCTGTGTCCCTACCAAGCTGTGAGCTACTTGAGACCATACCTTCTCTAAGGTCCAGCACAATGTCTGACATAGAGAAAGGTACAAACCCTATAGTTTAGAAATATGCAGTAATGTTTATTATGGTGGGGAAATGTGGTAGAGACCAAATGAGTGGCTTGAGGCCATGAAAACATGTTGAAAGTCAGGAAGAAAAACAGTATTCATCCTGGTACAAATATTATAAATGACATGATTTTGATAAATTTATACCATACTACATCTGCTCCTTAATGTATACAACATATATTCCTGGTTTATAGGTTACCATATATAGCATACAAGAGTTGCCAGTTTTCCAATAATAAGAATGTAAAACGCACCTGGACCAGCAGGACTAGCTTTATAGGCAATAGATTTGATTTCTTTCATCTCTGTCCTTCTGTTCTGCTTTCTTTTTTTATTATAGCTTCTTATGTATATTTAAAAAAAACTTCCCCTAGATTTTAAGATTTTGAGGACATTACAGAGTATTTTCAGGCACCGTTTAGATACTTAATATTTATTAAATCTAATAAAAAAATGTCAGTTTTTATTATACATATTAATTGGACTTGATGAATTATGCATTTCTTTCTTTTAGATATTCCTCCATGAATTAAGTAAGGGGTGGTATACCTGTTTCCAGTTACTTTTCAAATAGAACAAATTCAGCAGAAATAAGGGCAATCAGGTTTCTTACGGACACATCTGAAGACCATATTTAGTTGTAATCCTTTGAATGATTTAGGTCAGAAAGAGCTCTTGAGCAATATTTTGACAGCCATTTCATGGAAAGGCTCAATGAGAATCTAATATGGATCTACATGCAGGTTAAATAAGAGATGACAAATGAGAGCCTCATGCAGCTCAGTACAGTATATATGTGCTACCAAAGCGAGCAGCTCGGTACAGTATAGAAGTCAGTTTCAGTGATTCTGTGATTGAAATATAACTATAGTACCGACACACCATGACCCTGGGGCTTGTGTAGGTCACGGCATGAAACGGATTCAGTGTGGGTGTTTGCTTAGGTAAACAAGGTCCTTCACCATAGTTTCATCAGGAACCAGCAGAGCATTGCAGCTAATATGGTATACTCTGATTCCATAAAAAGCAATGAATATTGCTATTCAAATAATATATCCTCTGGCTACTGTTGTCTCCCCAATTATTAAAAGTGGTAGAATGACATACATTTTAAAATGTAAGTTATTTTTATTCTGATTCAGTTTTCCTTAATTTTTAACATCTTCACTGATTTTATTTATTTTTTATTTTTTATTTATTTATTTTTTTAAAGATTTCATTTATGTATTTGACAGAGCCACAGCAAGAGAGGGAACACAAGCAGGGGGAGTGGGAGAGGGAGAAGCAGGCTTTCCGCCAAGCAGCGAGCCCAATGTGGGGCTCGATCCCAGGACCCTGGGATCATGACCTGAGCCGGAAGCAGACGCTTAATGACTGAGCCACCCAGGCACCCTCTTCATTGATTTTAAAGATAAAACAGTTGTTTCAAAGAAATTCATTGGTCTAAATCTTTAACTTACATAGTTTTACATACTTAGCAGTTTTGTTTTTTTTTTAATTAGGAAAGCCATCTTTCTGGATTATCATCTTCTTGTTGACCTCCTATTACAGGTTTTCAGCACATACTCCAATGAAGACTATGACAGGAGGAACGATGAAGTGGACCCTGTGGCTGCTTCTGCCGAGTATGAACTTGAAAAGCGTGTAGAAAAGCTGGAACTTTTCCCAGTGGAACTAGAGAAAGGTATATGAGCTCCACAACATTTGTAATATCATTATATGGCTATTTTAATAACACAAAAGTGACCTTTATTTTTTTTTTTTCGCATGTAGACACCCCCCCCCCGGAAGGGTTGGAGAAAGTGTTAATTCTCTTGGCGGATTTAATTTCTTTATTAAATTTCAAAAGTAGTTGATATGAGCTCTGTATAGATGGTAGACTGAAAGACTCTTTCTTCCCTTCCACTTACAGCTAAAAGCCATCTGCTCTAGTTGGCTGGGATGGTGACTGGAAGTAGGGAGGTGTGGGTAGGGCCTGATGTTTGGTCGGTACCCTTGCGAAGGGCTGGTGCTGGTGAGTGCAGGTGGAAGTGGGGGGGGCAGGTGGTTGGGGGGGCAGGTGGAAGTGGGGGGGTGGTTTTTGCGTTCTTGGTGGACGGAGAGTGGTCATGGTTGGGCTCTGAATGTAGTAGATGGAGGAGTGCTGAGCCTTTAGATTATGGATTTTGGAATGGAGACAGTGGCATCCTCTCTGAGGGGAGAGGTCTAAGAGAGAGCAGGGAGAATGGGAGCAGAGGGGCTTCCTCTTGATTTCTCCTCTTGGAATCTCAGCCTGCCTGCAGTGGGAAGTGAGGACCCATGGGACCAGAGACTGCCATGTTTATCGTCCTGTAAGATGGGCACCCGGGAATGGACTGGGACCCAGTGAACAGGGAAATATCGCAGAGAGCCTTACAAAAAAGCAGAACAAACAGATGACAACTTGAATGACAAAAAGAAGCAAATGAAAAATCAAATGAGGATATCAAGTATGGCTTTAAAAAGACGTTCTTAGGCCAATCAACAAACAAAAAAATGTTGATTTTAAAAATTAAAAAAATTTCGGTAGAGGAATTGAAGAGGAAAGGGTGGTATTGTTGAGATGCAAATTGGTGATCTAGAAGGTTAAGCATAAGAAATGAGCCGAACTAATTCTTAAGTGATAGAGTAAACATCCACAAAAAATCATGACGGAGACCCAAAATATAAATTATAGGTGACAGAAGGTGAAAAGACATAGAGGATGAGAGACATAGTAGACAAAACATGGAAGAAATTTTCCTGAGCTCAGAAAAGACCTGAGCCTCCTATTTGGAAGGGCTTATCCAATTGATTGAGAGACGACTTGGAAAACACCCCGCACTTAGGCATAGCCTGGGAGAAGTCCTCATCTTCAACATAAAGTATAAATTTTACAAAATACCACACTCAAAGCAAACAAAGAAGCAAAGGTACTTGCCAAAGCAACATTATTAGACTAGTATCAGATTTCTCATTTGTAACACTGGATGTGGGAGGCAGACATAAAATTTCACACATCCAGGAATCCTGTATCTGTCCCAGAGAGCATTTACCTGTCTTCTGGTGAAAGAAGGAAAGTTGCTGATATCTAAGGATCTAAAGAACACATCACCTGCATACTTCCCAATTAGCAAGGAGGAAAAGAAACAAAGAACAACTTGTTCTAAATAGCAAAGATGAGGGAAAAGAGTTGAAAACTGTAACTTTTGGGCATAAAATTACTTGGATTAAAAAATGTGAAGAATACCGGTCATTATGCCAGACATGACTGGCTAATTGTTCCCATTAAGAGACACTTTTCATTTGAGGTTAAAAAGGATGTAAGAATGATACTTATATTTTTCATTCATTTAAAATGTAAAAACCATTACTAGCGTATAGTCCATACAAAAACAGCTGTGGGATTTGGCTGTGGGCCACTGTATTGCTTATAATAGCAAAAATGAGAATAATCCAAATATTCATTAATGACAGAAAAGGGTAAAATGAAGGAGCCTCAGTTCCATGCAGCAGTGTGTATGATTCTTACAAACATGAAATTGAAGGGGGATAAAAAGCAAATCACAGAAGAAGCCATTCAGTATAATTCCATTTATTTAAATTTCAAAGCCAGGAAAAATTCAATGGCATATCATTTAAAGATACACAAATAAGTGGTTTTAATAAGTGGTTTTAAAAATGGAGGTCATGATCGGCACGATATTTAGGATAGTGGTTACCAAGGGGAGAGTTATGATATCAGGGAGAGGTGCAGAGTGAGCTTTTCAGGTATTGGTAGTGTTCTGTATCTTTGCTAGCATGTGGATATTCATTTTATTTTTAAACACAGTGTTTTGTAAATAAATGTTTTCATGAACTCTTTTGTGTTTTTCACAAAAAAAAAGTTAAAACTAGAAAAATTAAGCTAGAAAAGAGCCAAGTGAAGTAGAATTATTTGTAATCTTTTGAGAAACCTCCATCCTGTTTCCCCAAAGTGGCTGCACCATTTTGCATTCACAGCAACAGTGCACAAGAGGTCCCCTTATTCTGCATCCTTGCCAACACTTGTTATCTCTTGTTTTTTGGATGATAGCCATTCTAACATTCTGACTCTAATAAGGTGATTTCTCATTGTGGTTTTGATTTGCATTTCTCTGATGGTGAGTGATGTTGAATACCTTTTCATGTCTTCTTTGGAAAAATGTCTATTCACTTCCTCTGCCTATCAAATCACATTTGGCTTTTTGCTGTTGAGTTGCATGAGTTCTTTATATATTTTGGATATTAACCCCTTATCAAATATTTTCTCCCATTTTCTAGGCTGTCTTTTCATTCTGTTAATGGTTTCCTTTGCTGTGCAGAAGTTTTTTAGTTTAATGTAATCCCACTTGTTTATTTTTGCTTTTGGTGTGAAATCCGAAAAGTCATTGCCAAGACTGATGTCAAGGGACTTACCTGCTGTTTTATTCTAGGAGTTTTATGGTTTCAAGTCTTAAATGTAAGTTTTTTTAATCCATTTTGAGTTGATTTTTATGTATGGTATAAGATAGGGGTCCAGTTTCGTTCTTTCTTTTTTTTTTTTTAATGTGTCTGTCTAGTTTTACCAGCACCATTTATTGAAGTGGCCATCCTTTCCCTATGGTATATTCTTGGCTTCTTTGTCGTAAATTAATTGACCAAATATGATAAGATTATTTTAGAGCTCTCTATTCTATTCCACTGATCTCTGTGTCTGTTTTTATGGCAGTACCATACTGTTTTGTAATACAGTTTAAAACCAGGAAGTGTTATGCTTCTAGCTTTGTTCGTTCTCAAGTTTGCTTTAGCTATTTGGAGTTTTTTGTAGTGCCATACAAATTTTAGGATTGTTTGTTCTATCTCTGTGAAAAATGTCATTGCATTTTGATAGAGATTAAATTGAATTGATAGATTGCTTTGGGTCGTATGGACATTTTAATAATATTAATTCTTTGAATCCTTGAGTATGGACAATCTTTCCACTTATTTGTGTCTTCAGTTTCCTTCATCAGTGTCTTACAGCTTTCAGAATTTCAGATCTTTCACCTCCTTGGTTAAGTTAATTCCTAGGTATTTTACTCTTTTTTGATGGAATTGTGAGTGGAACTCTTTTTTTTTTTTTTTAAGATTTATTTATTTATTTTTAGAGAGAGAGGGAGAGCACATGGAGAAATAAGGGCAGAGGGACAAGGGGAGAGAGAATCTTAAACAGGCTTCACACCCAACACAGAGCCTAATGCAGGGCTCGATCTTCGGACCCTGAGCCGAAATCAACAGTCAGATGCTTAACCGACTGAGCCACCCAGGCTTTCTTAATTGCTCTTTCTGATAGTTTGTTGTTAGTGTATAAAGACCTAAATATGATACAAACTATAGATTATAATACCAACAGAGATTTTTTACTTTCAAATTGAGGAAACACTTTAAAAAAATAAATAAATTGAGGAAACACTAGAAATATTTCAGTTAAAACCAGGTGTCTGATTTGGAATGCTCTTTAAATGAAATAGTATAAACAGTAGAAAACAAAAGATGAAAAGTAACCTTTTGGTGATTTTTATTATAGGATATGTATTATCATTATATATATGAAAGCTATAATGAGAGGCCAAACTGATTCTAATTTTAAAACACTAGAATTGATAAGATTATATATGTAAGAGGAGGTCAGGTGTCACATACATGAAAGAAAATTAGTCGTTTTTTCTCTATATTTACGTTAAGCACATAAATATGAAAATGGGAACATTTCATTTACAACAGCACAAAAACAACAAAATACTTATTAATCACTAAGAAAAACAGTATTTATCTGTTGAAAATCCATCTTTGACAGATAGAAGATGTAAACAAATAGAAGGATATACCATATTCTTGGATGAAAAGACTCAGTATGGAAAAGTCCCTCCTATTCTTCATCTCTGATACCTACAAATTAATATATAAATTTAATGCAGTTCAAATAGAACTGCCATCAGGGTTGGATTGGGAGAGAGGATTGCATGATGTAATACTAAATTGTATATGGAAAAATACAGACCTAAGGGAAGTATGAAAAAGAATGTGAAAGGTCTTAATTTCTTAAATATCTGATTTTAATGTAAAGCCTCTATAATCAGAACAAATTGTATTCATAGAGCAATTGATCAGTGGAACGAAGTAGGAAATCCAGAGAAAGATGTTAGTATGCATGAGAATTCAATACACGACGTGTATGATATTCTAATTTAGGATAATAGGGTGCTTTACAAAGTGTTCTGGTGTAACTGGGCATCTGTGTGGAAGAATATAAAGTTAGGCACCTTCATTTGCATTATATCATATAAAAAACAACTCTACCTGGATTAGATAATTAAACATTAAAAATAAAGTAATAAAGGTATTTGACAAAAAACTTGTAAGACCACATAAATCCTGTAGGCATGTTGGAGGCGGGGCTTAACCAAAGTGGAAAAGCAGAAGTTATAAAAGAAAAGAGGGTCCAATCAATCAGTCCAAAATTTTAAGCTTTTAAAGGCAATATTGTCAAACAAAGACAATAGATAAATGATAAATTGGGGGGGCATCTTCATTATAAATGACATGGAGTTAAAATGTATAATATGCTGAGAACCTTAAAAAGAGAAAAGAGACAGGGAAAACTCAGTAGAAAAAATTGGCAATTTCCCAAAGAGGACACATGAATACAAGCTTAAATCTCACTAGCAATAAGGGGAGTGCTAAGCCAACATGAGCTTCTTTTCTTAAGAGGAAAGATAAGCTCTGAGCACCAGAGTTTGGTGACAGCATCTTTCATGGTAACTCAGCCTCACAGTCTTTTCCACTGTTTCCCGGCTGCTTTGCCTACTTAGTGCTTTTTCTGTCCCTAGGAGGGGCTAGACAGAGGAAGACCAGGGGGCTGCTGGGTTCTTGACAGTCACAAGAATCAGTGGCCTTCAAGGATATGGCTCTGGAATTCGCCCATTGTTGACACATCTCACAGAGATGCAATCAGTCAACTGGTCTCTGTGTGTTGATTTTATTCTTCCCTCAATTGTCTTTCAGTTATCATCTTGTCTTTCAGGCAGTCTGCACTGGAATTGAGGATGGCTCAAGCTATTGTCGCTTTTCCTACAATTGGGTTTTCAGCTCTGCAAATCTGAGTAATTTTCCAGTGAGAGCAACAGGGTTGCTAAGGCAGGAAGACAGATAATTTTACTAAAGCCTGAGTCCAGGCAGGGAAAATGCACTTAAAAACGAAGACATATGATTTTCATGCAGGATATTTGCAGGAAGCAACTACTTAATGGCATGGTGGTACAAAGAATCCACATTTGAAAGGAGCTCTTTGAATGTACTGAGTAAGGGAAAGTTTCCCTTACAGCCCAACATTGGCTTGACACGTGGTAATTCATAATGAAGAGAAACTCCTGTATATAAGATGAATGTGAACAAGAATTCAGCTAAATGCTTAATACAGACCAGATTTCATGTAGGAGAGAGAAGTCCTGTGGCATTATTTAATGTGGAGGATTCTACAGTGATCATCTCTTAAATGACACAAGAGCAAACACTCTGGGAGAAACACTTACATGTATGTAAACATTGGGAAGGCTTTGGGTCATCATTCATCCTTTCACCAACACAAATAGATTCCCACACCAGGAAACTCTAGGAATATGATGAATGTGGGCAGAAGTTCAGCTATATAGCTAACCTTCTATACACATAGGACAATTCCTGTGGGAGAGAAGAAACTTTGTACATGTGACCAGTGAGGAAGAGCCTTTAGCACAGATCTAACTTTTCTTTTCCCAAGAAAACTCATTCTGGGGAGAAACCCTAAATGTTGGAAAATTTTTAACCAGAGAAAGCCTCTGGATGAACTTGAGTATCTATACCAGAGAAACAATGAGAATGAAATAAATATGGGAAATCACATGTGTGCGAACATTCTAAATACAAGGAATGAAAGAACTTCTCCATTGATGACTCGTACAGTAGTCACCATTAAAGTTCTCACGCTGGAGAGGCGCCTATGCCTAAAATCAATGCGGAAGTACCCTCATCTGGGGATCACATTGAACAGTTCTTCCAGGGAGAACACTCTATAAAGCTCTCTTTAGCACACAACTGAGTAAACAAATCACACTTTTGTCGAATGACATGTTTTTAAACATATGTAGAATACAGATGTAGGATTATAAATTGTACTTAGAAACACTTAAAGGAGAAGTCAGTGACAAGTAGTAATAATCAATGAGATGAACCCTATTCAAGAGATTACTGATTAAGAATACTTAGTGTATTAAATGTTATTGCTAAAAAGTCTTAAAAGCATCAAGCATTCTGCTGACTAGATGAGCCAGTTTTCCTTTAGACAGCCCTTCACTGCTGATCAGCGAGTGTCTTGTTTTTTTATGCAGCTCATACAACATGATTCCAAAGACTCTGAGGCTATCAGAAAATAACTTTCAGTGTTGACCAAAAAATGTGGAATCTGAAAGAGTGTATCTTTTATTTCATTGATGTTAAAATACATATGTTCATGGAAATATGGATAAACACATTATTGTAAATGAATTTAAAAGTGAATTTGTCAGTGTTGTTCATCGGGTGAGGAGCATGGAAACAAAAATGAATGCCTGTCAGTAGAGAAGTGGTTGGATAAGTTATGATACCATCTCACCATGAAATATTATGCAATCATTAAAGTGATTTAGGACTATGTAAGTTGATATCCATGAGGTATCATTGAATTAGGAAAGTAAGCCTCAGAGAGAACTAGGTTTAATGCGATCTTATTTGTATAAAGCAAATAGGAAGGAAAAATGAGCCATTGTATATACACACATATACATATATGTATGTATATTTATATTTATGCATATATACATATATATAGTAGCTGTTGCTACTTTTATATGCTTATATAGTAGGACTGAAGAAAGTACTGAAAGACACATGCCACCTTATTAAACATGAATGGGGATATGAACCAAAAAAGCAAAGACCACATAAATGAAGGGGAAATTTTAGATACATTATGATCACGTTCATTTAAAATAATATATATGTGTTTTGGCATGTATGCTTTTGTGTTTAAAATATATTATTTAGAGAGGCTGTGTTTTAAGGAAGATTGATTTACTCCATGATCAAATTATTATTTTTTCTTGGGGTCACAAATAAATAGCCAACTGCAGTAATAAAATGAGATTAAACTCACAAGCCTTTCGGGGGGATCTTATTTAACATCTTTACTCCCCAGCATAGAAAAAAATATTCTGCCAAGATAAGCCTGTCATATAGTCCATAAAGAACAAAACTAAAAGCAAAAAAGAGGTCTCACCAGGTAATTGTGGGCCAGTGTAAAACTTAGGTTGTTGCATTGTTTTTCCCCTTTTTCATAGATGAGGAAGGACTTGGTATAAGCATTATTGGAATGGGTGTTGGAGCAGATGCCGGACTTGAAAAGCTGGGAATATTTGTCAAGACAGTAACAGAAGGTGGTGCTGCTCAGAGGGATGGCAGGTAAGCTAACTACTGTCATTAATAACTAAAATGCTAACTACTGTCGTTAATAACTAAAATCTTCTAGAAACTTTATTGGGAGTTTCTTTCAATGGTAGCTTTCTTCTTTTGATTTTTTTAGGACAGAATTTCGGAGTGTGTCTCATATGGAAAAGGTTAAAACACTTGAATTACTTTCTGATTTGTAGGTAAAACGCCTGCTTTCTTTAATGTATATTAGGTAAATGGGTGGTTGGATCTACTATCTCTATCTGTCTACCTTTGGTACCTATCCCTTCATCTCTCTGTCTAGTGGGAAAGGGGCAGAAACACGGGTGTATATTGTTTCAAAATACATCCTGTGGAGATCAGCATATAGTTTCACTTCAGAAATATCGAAACAAATGGTAATATTTCTGGCACTTTTGAGAATGACCAAGGTAGAAGGGAAAATAGGAACCCTAACTCTGCAATGATGATAATTCTGGAAATCATGTTTCTCAAAATGTATCCTATCTAAAAACACAAGTTCTTGAGTGCCAACTAAACCTGTGGAATTAAATCTCTCAGAGAGGACTCCGACAGTCTTTACTTAAGCATCCACCTTGGGTAATCTGGAGGCACACCAGCACATCAGATTGTTGTTGTTTTATGTCTTAGCTTTCATCATCTCAGGCTGCAAGTATCTTTAAAGATTTTTGATGAATCCTCACTCTTCGTTCCTCCTGCATCAGGTTGGGGCTGAAGCAGAGGTTGGCAATAGAAATAAAAGTAGGTCCAAAAATATGAGTGCCAAATTCAAAGAAATGTCATCTTATTTTTTTTCAGGAGCACAGAGTAACTAGCTTTGATTGTTTTTCAAGGTTTCAGTATATATCACTTAACCATCTTGATATCACTTAACCAACATGGTAAAGCATGTTGAAAATCATTTGTAAACCTCTGGTGGAACACATAAGTAGTAGCATTATTTCTTTTGTAATCCTAAATACACATATTGATATACACAGATATTTTCCAAGGGGAACTAAATTGATTTATTTAAATAGAATGCCACGTCAGGATCATCTCTTTCCATGAGGCTAGGGACCACATCTCAGTCAGTAGCCTTATTTGTATTCCCGTGGACTTGAACAGAGAAGGTCTGAAATGAGTCTTTTGAGTGAATGTTCAGTTGATTGAATGTGTATCACACTTAAAACAAAGTAGGATATTAATATTTTGTGTTAAAATACAATTTGTTAACAGTCTTCCCCATTTTCAAGTATTTAAGGAAATGACCTCTTTACCCTTTCAGTGAATTACATAATGGTAGTAGCAAAAATTTCTGATTATTGATTTAGAAACTTTCTTCCAAGTGAGCTAAAATTTGTTTGTAAAATCTGTGTTATTTCTCTTTAAGTTTCACGGAAAATTTAAAAACTATTCCAAAATGATAGGAAATACTTCTTATTGTTAGTATTCAAACAGCATGAAATTATTACGAACTATCTCTCTTAAGTGGGCCACAAAACCAAACCAAAATACAAATTGATTAAAAAACAAAAAGGTAGAAAATTTTGCATTCAGCTCTTAGCCAATTCCCATTGTTCTAAACTCAGACCTCTTTGTTTTTCCATCACTCACTTTTAAAATTAGGTTTGTTTTTCATTAACCTGTTTCCTTATTTGTTGTCCTACATAGGTTCAGTATTTCCACCAGTAGGAGAACTTGGCTCTATCAGTTTCAGTGTGCATTTCCTCAGTCCCTTTAAATGGATATTTATCTAGTATAGTAATCCTGCTGTTGTTACAATAGATGCTTAATAAATGTCTCAGTGAATATATTAAGGAAGGCAATTTGATGAAATGAAGAGAATCTTTGGGAACATGTGACCAGGAGCCTAATTCTGTCCCCTCTACTTACCAGCTGTGGGATATTGAACAAATTAACTTAATTTTCATGTTATCTACACTGCAGGGTTGCTGTAAGCATTCAATATGCTTATGTAAATTAAACCTTCCACAGCACCGTGTATGAAACGAAACTGTTCTTGAATGAAGTAGGAATAAGCTTTATTTTTAAATGTACTTAAAAATAGTTATTATGGGAAGTCTTAAGAAAAACTACAGAAAGATGTATAAAATATGTACAGAATCATAAAATTTTAGAGGTTCAGAGGAACTTTAGAGATCTTTAAATTCATACTTTTTGTTTTATATGTGTGTAAAAATTGAGGATATATATGTGTATGTATAGTCTCATTATTAGACCTATGGCAGTGTTCACATCTTTTAAACTATTATTATTCCCACCATTACTGTTGTGCTCATTTGCACAATTTTAAATGTTTGTTGTTTAAAATTTATCAGTATAAAAAGATTACAAAAAGAACAGTTGATTGCTTCCTCCAGTTAATAATTTTTTTAAAAAGTTACGTCTATTTATGGATATAGAAAAATACTGTGTTAAGGATTTACAAAGCACTATGATCAGTATGATGCCAGTCTTCTGTGAATATGTTTTCTATTTGTTCATCCCTCCCCCAACCTCTCTTCCTCTTTCTTTTTCTTTCTCTCAAAAAATGTAGAATTAATACACACCAAAATATTGAATGGCTCTTTTCCATGTGGGCTTTTAAAAATTCCAGTTAATGTGGAATATTTAATTTTTCTACAGAGAATTTATATTTGTATATATATTTTAAACTACAACTAAAAATAATAAAGTTATCATGTGACCTCGGGAAAGTTGCTCTTCAGACCTCAGTTATGGACAAAATTAAAGTTCTGGATTAGGTGTTCTTTATAATTCCTTTTAGCTTTAAAAGGATAAAAGTTTTGGGGCGCCTGGGTGGCTCAGTCGTTGGGCATCTGCCTTCGGCTCAGGTCATGATCCCAGGGCCCTGGGATCAAGCCCCACATCGGGCTCCCTGCTCAGCGGGGAGCCTGCTTCTCCCTCTCCCACTCCCCCTGCTTGTGTTCCCTCTCTTGCTGTCTCTCTCTGTCAAATAAATAAATAAAATCTTTAAAAAAAAATAACTTCTCTCATAAAAAAATCTTTAAAAAAAATAAAAATAAAAGGATAAAAATTTTTTTTTTAACCCTTCTACTAGCTTGCTTTAGTTTCTTTTTCTTTCTTTTTTTTTTTTTTAGAGACAGACACAGAGAGAGAATGTGTGTGTGTGCGTGAGTAGGGGAGGGGCAGAGGGAGAGGGAGAGAGAAACTTAAACATTGACTCTGTGATGAGCCTGGAGCCAGACGCGGAGCCTGATGCTGGGCTCCATCCCATGACCCTGAAATCATGACCTGAGCTGAAATCAAGAGTCTGTCCTTAACTGACTGAGCCACCCAGGCGCCCCTTGCTTTAGTTTTTCAACTCTATTTAAGAAAATGATTTCAGTTTAATCTCAGATTAGTCATATTACCTTCGAGGGATGTTAAATAAACAGACTTATAGACTTAGCCAGGACATTCTTTTCTCCCTCCTCCCCACTTACTGCCCCCACATGTTTGTTGTGATTGCTTTTACCCCTTCTAAACATCTCATAAACTCACCATATTTTGAGCTCTTTTAAAAATTTGCCATGGACATTTATCTCCTGTGTCATTCAAAGTGTAGTTAAAAAGTTTTGAGTCTTCCTTTTTGATGTTATGTTCTACACTGAAGTTTTCTTTTGTCAAGCTTTTCATGTCTGTCTGTACCTTTTTATATGATGCCTGAAATGTAGGGGTTCTCAATAAATATTTGTTGAATGAATGAATACTTGTGCTTTAATCACTTTCAAAACATTTATTTAGGCCTAACGTTTTTCTCCCCCCTCCCCTCCCCCTCCCTTCTTTTTCTTTTCTCTCCCTCTTTCTCTTTTTTGTGGTATCCTAACTCTTAACAATCACTTGCAATTGAGCTAAGTGACATGAGTTGATAGCCATTTCCACCATCTGTTTTAGTTTTAAATTTTTAGTAAAATAATAACTACAAATGATATTAAATAAGATTAATTTTAGTAAAATAAAATATTAATTTTATTAAATACATTTTTATGTATTAAATATTATTTTATTAAAATTAAAGTAAATATTTAGCAACAATAGTATTAATAATAAAACCATTAGCTTTGCTCGCCATGCATTTTACAATTGATACACAGGACACTAATTATTTCTCCAGTTCTCTTTCATGAATCTATAAAGCAAAATCAACTTTATGATAACACAATTGAAAATGCTGATAGCGGAATAAGTCCTGTGGGTGGTAACTGACAAATGATAGTAATGACACTGCGCTAAAGAGGCAAATTAAAAATGCATTTGGGATCTGCTTTGTTTCTGGCTCCTATGTGTATTTCTTAGACGTTTGCATGTCATCGTTTGAGAACACTGTCCTGTTTGTTTTTTTCTGAAAAAGTTACCAAATGTGAAACGAGGGTGCTATGTAGTTTACCTTCATTCAAGCCTCTCAAGGTTTTCAACTGATTTTAATTATTTTTGACCAGCTTTTGGGTAGGAAGCAACACATAAAACAGATGAAGAGTTTTATTCTTAGCTTTCCCTGCAGCAGACGCTCCCTGGGGCGGGACCCATCTGTGCCCCTGGGGCGCCCTCCCGCCCGGGACAACCTGAATGGAAACTGCTGTTTTAATTGTGTCCATCTGTCATGATTCCGTAGTCGAGGGTTTCCTCTCAGTGCACACACTCCTGTGTCACTCTCCTCCTCAAGTATTTTGCTTGTTCACCCCTTAGAGAGTTGGGATATTACTGCTTTGATATGGACATATTTTCATATACATTTAAAACTCCACTATCTGGCATTTCGGGGAAAATTGTGTTGACCCGAGTTTATTAATGTTGCTCCAGCTGGTCTCCCTCTCATTCAGCCTCAGTTGCTTTGTTTACATAGGCCCTGTGAGGTAGAATTTTTGTTTTTGTTTCCCCTTCCCAGATACATCATTGTCGGTAGATAACTATCCAGTAACGTTAAACAAACCCTAGAATCGTCCAGCATCTATATATTTTTGTTAGCTTACCCCCATCGGTTCTGG